TTAGAGAAACTCCGCCATTCGTCGCTGGCGCTGACCCGGAAGTCCTGGATGACTGATTCTAAGTCCACTAAGTTCACAAAGAGTGTTGAGTACAATCCTAAGTGGGGGGAAAATGTGGGAATTTTCCAGAGTTACCCAGAGGAAGATCAAGGTGATGTAAAAAAAAGCAGATAATGTTGAGGTAAAAGAGGAAGCTGAGGAGGAGGAGGAGGAGGAGGATGATCAGAGTTCGGATTCCAGCTCAGTGGGTGGCGCTGCTGCTGATGTCAGCGACAGTGATGACTCAGCAGACTACAAGAGCGCAAAGGCCTCAGTCAGACCATCTGATGCGTCTGACAATGAACTGGAAGAACCACTGTTCCCCATTGGTCACTTTTCTCCTAAGAAAGAGGAGGTGAGTCCAGAAGACTTGCGTCTAGTACGCAGATCTGAAAAGGCCACCAAAGGCAAACCTCCAAAGAGATTTGCTGATGAGTTTGCTAAGACAGCAACTGCTGTTCTTAGTAGCTTAGAGAAGGTATGGGAACCTTCAAGCTTCAAAGAGGTTCAGGAGTTGACCTCTAAAGATGCTGAGCCTTGGCTTAATGCCATGAAGGCTGAAGTTGATTCCTTGAATAGGAACCAAACTTGGGAACTGGTACCGGTAGTCCCAGGAATGAGACTGGTTGGCAGCAAATGGGTCTTCAAGGCCAAGACAGACCAGAATGGCAAGGTTGTCAGACACAAAGCCAGATTGGTTTGCCAGAGGTTTTTCGCAGGTACCAGGACAGGATTACCACGAGACCTACTCACCCACCGTCAAGTATGAGAGCATTCGGCTGATGCTCAAGATTGCTGCAGAGGAGAAACTGCATGTTTCCCATCATGACATTAATACAGCCTTTTTGTACGGGGTTTTGGGGGAGGAGCTGTATATGCTTCCACCTGATGGAATGCAAATACAGAAGGGAATGGTCTGTAAACTTCGCAAATTCTTATATGGTCTCAAGCAGAGTGCCAGGTGTTGGAACACAAAACTCACTGAGACATTGCTTTCTCTAGGTTTTCACCAGGGCAAAGCTGATTCATGTGTGTTTGTCAAGGAGGAGGGGCAAAACAAACTGTATTGTTTATGTTTTGTTGATGATCTTCTGATGTTTTGGAAGAATCAGGCTTTGTACTGAAGCACCCTCGCTCAATTGAAGGAGCACTTTGACATGAAGGATCTTGGTGAGGTATCCAACTCTCTTTCTCTGCAGGTGGAGAGAGACCAAGCAGGTAATTTTCTGGTACACCAAACACAGAAAATTGCTGATGTATTAACCAGGTTGAATTTGGTTGATGCAAACCCAGCAGACACACCAATTGTGACAGGTTACCAGGTAGATAGTACTGCTGAAGCGTTTTCTGACACTACACTGTACAGATGCATTCTAGGCAAGTTGAATTTCATTGCTAGATGTTCAAGACCTGACATAGCTGTAAGCACTAACCTGCTTAGCAGACATGCTAACAATCCTACTGTTCAGGATTGGAAAGCTCTGAAGCGCATAGCCCGCTATTTGAAAGGGACTTTGCACTACAGGCTGAGGTTCACCAGTCAGAAGACTGGAGGTCTTGAAATCTTTGCAGATGCAAGTTTTGGAAGTGACACCACAGATGGTACAAGCACTTCTGGAGTATGCTACATGTACAACCACTGTCTGTTTGACTGGTTGTGCAAAAAGCAGACGACAGTGAGCCTAAGTTCCTGTGAAGCAGAACTCAATGCTCTGTCATTTTCACTCATGGATTGTGAATGGTTGATGCAACTGTTTAAGGACATCAGAGTTTCTGTGAAATGTCCTATACAAGTGTATCAAGACAATAGATCCTGTTTGGCTTTGCTGAACTCAGAGAGTTGTAAGCAAAGAACCAAGTTCTTGCAGATTAAGCTACATCGTGCAAGAGAGTGTATTCAGAAAGGACTCATTCAGGTGTCCTACATGGCAGGAAATGAAATTCCTGCTGATCTGTTGTCTAAGGTTGTTAACAGAGAACAACTTAAGGTTTATGTACAGAGGTTGCAATTGGGTTGAACCACAGGTTACACGGAAAGGGGGAGGATGTTAGGATATTTCCGTTCCACCTTAAAAGGGAGCAGGTTGTTGTGTCACAGCCTGCGTATTTCCTGTTCACAGGAAGTTTCTCTTTTGTTTAGAGCTTTTGTTTCCCTCTCTGCGTCTGGACACGCAAGCAGGCAGTAATGTTTTTTCTTTGTTCTGATCAACGCTGAATAAAGTTGTAAATAATGCTCTCCTGAGTGCACCTTTCGTTGTACGAGCTCAGCTGATAGAGCGTGCACAAGCCCTGGAATGTGGCAAGCTATTTCTGAGGCTTGTGTCGCTAATTGACTGATACTGTATCTACGGGAGATCGATGGATCGTCCGGAATCGACGTGGGGGCATGATGGCCTTTGTCTCCCTGGCAGTATCCCAACACTCTCACCCCCGGCTGCAGCAATGAGGTGGTACAGCTTTCAGGGGCTAATAGTGTGTCCCTGCTTTGGGAGGGGGAACACAGCCCCCCAGCAAAGTTTGGAGGATGAGCCAAGAGGTATAGCCGGACATTGGAAGGCAAACTGTTGCAGGAATTTATGTATAATGGGGGGGGGGGGGGTGCCCCTGCAGCAAATATCATGCACATGCAGCCCACTACCAAAATCATGACCATCACTTTTGTGACTTTTGTGACTTGTCCCCACAAAACACTTCATCACAGTTTATTTCTATCTATTCAAAGGGCCTCTGCTGCACAATACCAAATGTAAGAATTCACTGATAAATGTATCTATGTACTAGCTCACTGGGAAAACTTCAGAAATTCATATAGACATGTGAGCTCAGCTATTCAGCAGCCCCTCTGCCTGAGTGATAATTTCTTGCATCCTGATACCTGAGTGCCAGACAGGCAGCCATTCCAGAAATAACAAACCCAGATGGAGACAAAAGGGTGTGATTGACTTGGCTGGGAAACAGGGAAATGTAAAGATCTCCTTTGTTACACTCAATGGGTGTTTGGTGGATGGCAAGGAGAACCATGGGGCAGAGTCCAGGATGCTCAGATTGCGGCCACCAGACTTCCCCTTACCATGATGTATGAGTGATGTAGTTGGGGGGGTGTAACATGGGGATTAGCAGCTGATAAAAGTTGGGGGGCTCTGTTGTTCTGGGCATCCATCTTGTTCCACCTTGTGGCAGGTGGGAGTCCTGCCGCCACAGTCTTCAATCAAGACCAAGCCTACTGGCTGCTCTTTTGCTCTGCTATTCCTGGCTGGTGTTCTTGTTTTTTGTCCAAAGGAGCCCTCAGATTTCTCCATTAACAAAACATGCCTAAAGCCTTCAAAATGTGCACTTTCCTGCATTTTTCAGCTCAGCAATGTGTAGTCCCAGGAGAGGCAGGAACAGCGTGTCTTCCTGTTCCTCCCTCAGCTGAGACCTGCCTGGATGGAGACCTGAGAGCCACCTCTCAATATCTGGAGGGCTGACCCATGGAAGAGGGAACCAGCTTGTTTTCTCCTGCTCTAGAGGGGAGCACCCAGAATAAGGGACCCAGAGGACCAGAAAGCAGTTTCTGCTGCCTAAACAGCAGGAAGAACATTCTGACGGGAAGAGCAGCAGAATCCCTTGGGAGATGGCGGACTCTCCTTCCTTGGAGGTTTTTAAGCAGAGGTTGGATGGTTTGGCTGAGCTTCCTGCCTTGCAGGGGGGTTGGAATAGATGACCCTTAGGGCTCCCTCCCATTCTAGGATGAGGTTCCTTGCTTCCTGCAACCCCCTTTTCCCTGCAACCTCTTCCTCCAGTTTCTGGCCAAGGGAGGGAGCGGATCACAGACCAACCAAGAGCGTCCCCTCAAAATGAGCATCTCTGGGATTCTGCAATGCAGGAAAGAAAAGGCAGAGAGGACTGAGCAGGGTGGACTCGGCTTTGCAAGGGTTAAAGGGAACTGAGCTGCATTCCTAGAGAGGACAGGAAGTAAGGGGGGCCAGGTCCTCCAGAGGAAAACCCCCTCCCTCCCCATCCTGCAGGGGGGGTTGCTTTCTGCTATTGCAAATCCTGCCTTGTTCTCTTCCAAGGGGATCTGGTGAGTCTCTTCCTCCCTCCCCCCCCCCCCCCGAGGGTGCAGTGGGGAGAAGGTGGGGGTCCCAGGGCTGCAGCAGGAGAGGGTGGCTCATGTGTGGGGGGCAGACCCCGGGAGCAGGGGGTCCTGCCAGGGAGGGGCGAGGTCGCAGGAACTGTCTCCTTCCTTTAGATCTTTGGGGGGGGAGGGGAGGAGGTTACCGCCCCCCTTCTAGAAAAAAATTTATTCAGAGCCCCCTGGGAAATCTAGCAGATAGAAATCTAGCTTCTTTAAATAAGGCTATCAGTAGGACTGCTGTGTGTGACACGGGTCAGGGGTCAGCGTCATTGCACAACAGAGGAAACATGCATGAATGGTTGCTCCCAAACCTCTTCCTTTGTTTCTCTCCTTTCTTTCTGCTTCTACCGCCCCCTTATTGGCAGAGGAGGCCAGCCAAGCAGATCAAGCCAAGCTTTATGAGGAGCTGGGTATGTTTAGTTGGAGAAGAGGAGACAGAGAGGAGATAGGAGAGCAATGTCACCTGGGGGTAGGATTCCAACCAATGGCTTCAAGCTACAAGAAAGGAGATTTGGACTCAACACACCTAGTCATTTTTCACGAGGCACCAATGACTCGCTTGTCAATCAGTTCTGACTTCATGCATTGACTGGAAGGCAGGAGCAACCAGGCTGAGTCCCCTCCATTAATCTCTTTGCTTGCCTCCAGAATTCCACAATCTCCCTTCTAGAGGCCTACATCTCCTCCTCCTCCTCCTCCTTTTTAGGAAGATAGCTCAGAGTCTGGGCTGTGGGGCAGTCCTACCCTGGTTCCCAGCAAGACTCATCCATGCTTGCTCAGGGAACCTTTTTCTTCTCCTGATTTTGTACAACTTTTGTAACAGAACAATGTATTTGCTTTGTAGGATTTGCTAGAGCTTCTCATTCAGACAGACAGAACTTGGCAGAAGACCAAAAGGTTCCTTCCGATCTCTCAGAGGCTTCCTGAGAGCACAGATGGATGAACAAGATTCAGCTGGCCCTGGAGCAGGAAGAGGCCATGCCATCCAAACTGGGAGCAATGGAGGATTCTGGGAAAACTCTGTGCAGAAGATCCTGGGTGAGGAGGGCACTCTCCGCTCAGAGGTGCAGAGTCAGCAGTTGAGGCAGTTCTGCTGCCAGGAGGCCCAAGGACCCCGAGAGGTTTGCAGCCGACTCTACCACTTTTGCCACCAGTGGCTGAAGCCGGAAAGGCACACGAAAGCTGAGATGCTGGACCTGGTGATCTTGGAGCAGTTCCTGGCTGTCCTTCCCCCGGAGATGGAGAGCTGGGTGAGGGAATGTGGAGCGGAGACCAGTTCCCAGGCGGTGGCCCTGGCCGAAGGTTTCCTCCTGAGTCAGGCAGAGGAGAGAAAGCAGGCAGAGAGAAAGCAGGTGAGAGAGACTTTCCTCTGGATACTCCCAAGGGGCTCCAAACAGGATGGAGAACAATCAAAATTGGTCTGCTGATGGCCCATCGTTTTTCTGGGAATGAGATCTAACACCCTTGAACCTTCTGTCTTTGTCATTCTCTTTCTTATATTTCTCACCATTCATTTACTGTTTTGAATTTTTGTTGTTCTTTCAGAAAAGGGATCATTTTGCAGAAATGGACCTGGATTCCTGTGAGGCAGATGAAAGAATGAAGCCAGCAAGATCTCCATATTTATCTTTTCATGGGGGCAGAAGTGAAACAGCTGCTGTGGTACCAGATCAGGTATGGGGAAGCTGTCCTGTGGGGCAGAGGCCGAGGGATGGAGCAATGTCATGGACTGGTTGGGCACAGAGGAATGGTGGGAGGAAGCAGCCAGGGAACCAGGAAGGGAAGATTGCTCAGAGCCCAAGGAGTGAAGGTGGAGGAAGGAGGGGCGGTCAGAGGGAGAAGAGGAGAAGTCTGGGAAGAGGAGGTGTCAGAAGCTGATGGGGTAACGTGGCTTAGTGAGCTGGGAGACTCTGTGGCAGAATGCAGTGCAGAATCAGAGGCAGAAGAGGAAGAAGGCGAGTGGGAGGAAGGAGGTTGAGAGGCAGAGGTGAGTCAGGAGAATGAGGAGCCACCGGGGGCTCCCTCTCCTTCTGCCAGAAGCCACCCTCCCTGCTTGTCTCTCAGAGCCAGGAGAGGTCTGACAATGGAGGAGCAAAGGCAGGCTGCACACTGGCGCACTGTTAGATCGCTTGCCAGAAACCCCAGAGAGGAGAGGAGTTAGAAAGCTGTGGGGAGCCAGGGGCCTTCACTCTCAGCAGCTGATTTCATGAAGGAAGACCCTGACTCAATACTGATCCGGAGCAGAATTCCAATGTATAATTAGCAGAGTAAAAACCTAAAAATATTACAGGCTTCCCAAAAAATAGACCAGAGGCAATTGTATTTCATCCAGCAGAGCTTTACTGCTATTGAAGGCAAATGATCATAATGGTCACAAATCCAAAACATTCAGGATTGGTCTTGTCCATAAGAAATCCAGTTGCAGCAGACTTAACCTAAACTTACCTAAACTTATTAAAAGTCTAAGCCTTAACACTTAACCTTAACACATACCATGTACAGAACACCATCAGGAAGAGAGATAGAAATATAGAAAGAGAAAGTGAAAGCTTCTTCTGGCCTCTTCTTATAGTCAGCATGACCTTGACAGAAGACTTGACAGAACCACACTAAACTTCCACCGTGACAACTAGTCCATTAATTGATAGACAATGCAAATTGACAAACCCACACAGCCAAGTCTGTGAATATCGTGTTCTTGCTGATAAAGAGTAAACTCCAGCTGTGATGTGTCGGATTTCCTGCCCAGATAACTCTGTGACACCAGCCCTCTGAATGTCGCCGGTAGGATTCATCTGTAGTTGCAGTTTTCATGGATTCCTAGAGTTGAAAGGGACCCCAAGGGTCATTAAGTCCAACCCCCTGCATTGCAGGAATCTCAGCTAGATAATCCAAGACAGATGGCCATCCAAACTAGGCTTCTTTTATTTCTATATTTATAACTGAATGCTAAAATAGGCTTCTAAGCAGCGGACAGACGAGAACAAATAATTTCCAGGATTCACCTAGACAGCCCCATCCGCTGCGAAATGGGGCCTGCCCCCCACTCCTCCCCCTCTCCATGCCCCTATGAACCCCTTGAATTTGGCTCTAGGGCATTGGGAGGGAACCTCCCCAGAACAACTCACGAGGAGAGGAGAAAGTGGTTCCTTCCATCGGGGAAACTGGAATGCTTGTGTAGGCAGAAAAACGTAAACATAAGCTAGAGTACCACCTATTTGCAAAAAGACGAATACCCACAGTTAAAATGCAGAATAAAAGAATTCAATTAAAGCGTTAAAATAGTTACCCATAATTAAAATGTGCAGCAAAGCAATCCTATTGAAATAACACAGCAATTAACAGGAAGGAAAGAACAGAGCATTGTGTAGCAGATCATATTTCTGCTGTCTCAGAGGAGGACATTTCCCTTTTTCTTTTAGGGTCCAGTGTGCTTTGAAGATGTCGCTGTTCGTTTCACGGACGAGGAGTGGGCGTTGCTGGATCCTGACCAGAGAGCGATGCATAAGGACATCATGGAGGAGAATCGGGGGATCGTGGCATCTCTTGGTAAGCCTCCCTGTGGGATCGTCCTATCTGCCAGGAAATTCAAGAAATACCTCTATGTGACAAACCTCATATATTTTCACAGCGCCCCCTACAACACCTGGGAACTTAACACCCCCATAAGAAATAGTAAGTTACAGTTTTTTCTGTGAACAATCTTCCTCCAGTTCTGCCTCCTTCTACCACAGTTGGGCTGATCTGAACTGCCCAGGCATCTTAAATGTCAGCTTCAGAATTGTTAGGAAAGATAAGTAGCTTCTGTCAGGTTTTCTGTTTTTGTTTTTGCTGCTGTCAGTCTTGGGTTGACCAAAGAGACAAATGACATTGGAGATGGAGGGGATGCCATGACTGGGCCAAACAACATCTGCCCCAGAAAGGAGCCAGGCTGATTGAATCCCAGGTAGTACTAGCAGTGATAATAATAGCAATAATAATAATTTTTATGTATACGCTGACCATCTGGCTGGGTTGCTCCAGCCAATCTGGGAAGCTTCCAACACATATACAGTGGTACCTCTGGTTGCAAATAGGATCCGTTCCGGAGGTCCGGCCAGATCCCGAAGTTTTTGCAACCCGAGGATCACTGTTCTGCGCATGTGCATGGATTTGCCGCTTTCATAAGCTGAAGTTTACGTAACCAGAGGGTTACGTAACCTGAGGTGCTACGGTATAAACATGAAACAGTAATAATAACAACAGCCTAATCTAATGTAAAAGTACAAAAAAATTAAAATGAGTAACTTACTTCAAACAAAGCAACATTCAACAATTGATTAGAATCCAATAATAAATACACTGGTTTATTACAAATAACAAAGGTAATAAACACACAGCCAACTGCCTTCTCTACAACAAATTTAGTGAGCATTATTTACTAACTGGGGGCTCCATTTGTTCCTGAGGCTCTAATCCCTTTTTCTCTCCATTGCAGATTGTGATGAATTGGAAAGCAAGAACAAAGAAGAACACAACATAATCTGCAGAGTGGAGAAGGCACGTAAAAAATTGGAATGTGGAAAGAGCTGCAGTCAGAGCTCCCATTCCACTTCCCATCAACGAAATCTCATTGGAAAGAAACCCTATCGGTGCATTGAATGTGGAAAGAGCTTCAGGAAGAGCTCCGATCTCACTAGGCATCAAAGAATTCATACAAGGGGGAAACCCTATCAGTGCGTGGAATGTGGAAAGAGCTTCAGGAAGAGCTCCGATCTCACTAGGCATCAGAGAATTCATACAAGGGGGAAACCCTATCAGTGCGTGGAATGTGGAAAGAGCTTCAGGAAGAGCTCCGATCTCACTAGGCATCAAAGAATTCATACAGGGGAGAAACCCTATCAGTGCATGGAATGTGGGAAGAGCTTCAGTAGCAGCTCCGATCTCACTAGGCATGAAAGAATTCATACAGGGGAGAAACCCTATCAGTGTATGAAATGTGGAAAGAGCTTCAGTCACAGCCGCAGTCTCACTTCCCATCAAAGAATTCATACAGGGGAGAAACCCTATCAGTGCGTGGAATGTGGAAAGAGCTTCAGGAAGAGCTCCGATCGCACTAGGCATCAGAGAATTCATACAGGGGAGAAACCCTATCAGTGCATGGAATGTGGAAAGAGCCTCAGTAAGAGCTCCTGTCTCGCTATCCATCAAAAAATTCATACAGGGGAGAAACCATATAATTGCTTTGAATGTGGGAAGAGCTTCAGGAAGAGCTGTAATCTCACTTCCCATCAAACAATTCATACAGGGGGAAAACCATATCAGTGTGTGGAATGTGGAAAGAGGTTCACTCATATCTACAAACTCACTTCCCATCAAAGAATTCATAGAGGGGAGAAACCATATAAATGCTTTGAATGTGGGAAGAGCTTCACTCATAACTCCTCTCTCACTTCCCATCAAAGAATTCATACAGGGAAGAATGACGGAATTGTAGAATTGTGGAGCTGGAAGTGAACCTTGGTGCAATCTATTCAACCCCATGTGATGCAGGAATAGCAAGTAAAGCATCCATGACAGATGACCATCCAACTTCACTTGAAAACCTCAAAGCATGGAAATTCCAGCACTCCCAAGGGAGTCCAATCCACTAACAGCTCTTGCTGTCAAAAAGTTATTCCCCATGTTTATTTTTAAAAAAATGATATTTATTAAGGTTTCAATAAAAGATTAAACAGAAAAACATAAAAGAGAAATACACAATTCAAAAATACACAATACATAATCCAAAAAAGAAAAAAGAACAAAAAACAAAAGACAAAAAAGGAAAAGAACAGTTAAAAACAATATCACCTTTTCATTTCCATTTTTAAATTTACTTATTTTCTGGACCTCCTCATACCTCCCTCTTTTGTATTCCAGTTCAAATTGTTTGTCCAGCAATTTCTTTCCCACTATTTGATCCCAATCTTTAATCTTAATATAATATAACATTAAAATTTTACCTCTTAAAAACCAAATTTCCATTTCCTTAAACTTCTTTAATCCTAATCCTTAATCTTAGTCTATCTATAACTTTGAATCCTGTACAGCTGGAAACCACTTATTTTCAATCCAACATCACTCTAACATTCTTTAATTTTGCAGTGTTTCTGTAAATAATCTTTGAATTTCTTCCAATCTTCCTCCACCGACTCTTCTCCCTGGTCACGGATTCTACCAGTCATTTCCGCCAGTTCCATATAGTCCATCAGTTTCATCTGCCATTCCTCCAGTGTGGGAAGTTCTTGTGTCTTCCAATACTTTGCAATGAGTATTCTTGCTGCTGTTGTTGCATACATAAAGAAAGTTCTATCCCTTTTTAACACCATTTGGCCGACTATGCCCAGGAGAAAGGCCTCTGGTTTCTTGGGGAAGGTATATTTGAATACCTTTTTTAATTCATTATATATCATTTCCCAGAAAGCCTTAATCTTTGGGCACGTCCACCAAAGGTGAAAAAATGTACCTTCAGTTTCTTTACATTTCCAACATTTGTTATCGGGAACATGATAGATTTTTGCAAGCTTGACTGGGGTTATGTACCACCTGTATATCATTTTCATAATATTCTCTCTTAAGGCATTACATGCCGTAAATTTCATACCTGTGGTCCATAACTGTTCCCAGTCAGCGAACATAATGTTATGTCCAATGTCTTGTGCCCATTTAATCATAGCAGATTTTACCGTTTCATCCTGAGTGTTCCATTTCAGCAGCAAGTTATACATTCTTGACAAATTCTTAGTTTTGGGTTCTAACAGTTCAGTTTCTAATTTTGATTTTTCCACCTGGAAGCCAATTTTCTTGTCCGATTTAAATGCCTCCATTATCTGAAAATAATGAAGCCAGTCTCGCACTTTGTTTTTTAGTTTTTCAGAGCTCTGCAATTTCAGTCTATCTCCATCTTGTTCCAAAATTTCCAAATATTTCGGCCATTTGACCTCCATATTGAGCTTTTTCAAGGCTTTCGCTTCCATTGGTGACAGCCACCTTGGGGTTTTGTTTTCTAATAAATCCTTATATCTTATCCAAACATTAAACAGCGCTTTCCTGACAATGTGGTTTTTAAATGCTTTATGTGCTTTGACCTTATCATACCATAGATATGCATGCCATCCAAATACATTGTTAAAACCTTCTAGGTCCAAAATGTCAGTGTTTTCAAGAAGTAGCCATTCTTTCAACCAGCAGAAAGCTGCTGATTCATAGTAGAGTTTGAGGTCTGGCAGGGCAAATCCACCTCTTTCCTTTGCATCCGTTAGTATTTTAAATTTTATTCTGGGCTTCTTGCCCTGCCAGACAAATCTAGAAATATCTTTCTGCCATCTCTTGAAACAATCCATTCTGTCCACAATTTGCAAAGTTTGAAACAAAAACAACATTCTAGGCAATACATTCATTTTTATCGCAGCAATACGGCCCAGCAGTGAAAGCTTCAAATTTGACCAAATTTCTAAATCTTTTTCACTTCAGCCCAACATTTTTCATAGTTGTCTTTAAATAAATTCCCATTTTTTGCTGTCATGTTAATCCCCAGGTATTTAACTTTCTTAACCACTGTTAAACCTGTCTCATTCTGAAACCTCTCTCTTTCAATCGGTGTTAAATTTTTCTCTAAAACCTTAGTTTTTAACTTATTCAATTTAAATCCTGCCACTTGACCAAATTCTTGAATCAGTTCTAAAACCCTTTTGGTACTAGATTCTGGCTCCTGTAACGTCAATACTAAGTCATCTGCAAATGCTCTCAGTTTGTACTGTTTGGTTCCGACCTGTATACCTTTAACCAACCGGTCCCTTCTAATCATATTCAGCAAAACCTCCAGGACCGAAATAAAAAGAAGTGGGGAAATTGGGCAACCTTGTCGTGTCCCTTTTTCAATTTTAAGCTCTTCTGTCACAACATTATTTACAATTCATTTAGCCTTTTGTTCTGAATAAATTGCACTTATACCATTCTCAAAACCTTGGCCTACCCCCATGCCCTGTAGATTCTTCTTCATAAAGCTCCAAGAAATGTTGTCAAAGGCTTTTTCCGCGTCCACAAATATCAAAACTGCTTTAGTGTTTATGTTCACTTCTAGTTTTTCCAGAATATCAATTATATTCCTCAAATTGTCAGACAGATGTCTTCCTGGGAGAAAGCCCGCTTGGTCTTTGTGAATCTCTTCCATCAACAATTTTTTTAAATCTCTTGGCCAAAATGTCAGCAAAAATTTTGTAATCCACATTAAGTAATGATATAGGGCGGTAGTTCTTAAGCTGTGTCTTTTCAGTCTCTGTTTTCGGTACAAGTGTAATATATGCTTCTTTCCACGACTCTGGTGCTCTTTTCCCCTCCATTATTTCGTTGCAGACCTCTTTCAAAGGTTGAATTAACCATTCTTTCAAAGATCTGTAGTATCTAGAAGTCAAACCATCTGGTCCTGGAGATTTACCCAATTGCATATTTTGAATGGCACCTTCTATTTCTTGTTCAGTTATTTTATAGTTCAAAATTAGTTTATTTTCTTGAGATATTTTTTGTAATCCATTTGTTTTCAAAAATTGATCTAAGTCTGTTTCTTTCAATGGCCCTTGGGTATATAATCGTTTAAAATACCTCTGGAAACAATTTCTAATCTCTGCAGGGTTCTGTATATTTCTTCCTTCCACTTCTAAGTTCGTGATTGTATTTAGTTTTTGTCTCTTTTTCATTTGCCATGCCAACAATTTACCACATTTATTGGCTGACTCAAATGTCTTTTGTCTCATTTGTTTAATTTTCCATTCTATTTCCTGATTCATCATTTTCATATATTGTACTTGAAATAACTTTAACTCTCTCAGAATTTCTTGAGATTTTGGGTTTACTCTCAGTCTTTTTTCACTTTCCTTTATTTTGTCCAATATCTTATCCTTCTTCTCATTTTGAATTCTTTTCTTTACTGCGTTCTGTTGTATTAAGAACCCTCTCATAACTGCTTTATTTGCATCCCAGATTACTCTTTTCTCCACGTTAGTGCTCAAATTTATCTCAAAATAGTCACTCAAGATTTTTTGGGCCTTCTTAAATACTTCTTCATCTCTAAATAAGGTGTCATTCATCTTCCATCTAAAGGAGCCAGTTGGTGTTAGTTCTTCCCCATGTTTAGTCAGTCTTGTTTTTTTAAAATAAAAAACTTGATGCCATTGGTTTGTGTCCTACCCTGTGTAGTAGGAAAAAACGAGCTAAAAATGATACAACAAAGAAAAATCTTTCCTTCCCCGGAATTAAAATAATTAACAAAAAAATCAGAAAGCATTCCTTGACTTCCTATCCTCTCTTTCCATGGTTCCTTTTAACCCCAATTTGTTTATTCCGATGCTCTGGAATGCCTCTCAAACGTAGTGTTGTGTCATTTTGTTTTAATTCCAGAAGTGCAATATTATTGATTATATCCTCCTGAGTTTCTCTTACTGTGGCGAGCTCTGTTTTCATTCTATCTTGATCCCTTTTTGTCTCTCAGTTCTCTTCTTTCTTTCTCTTAACTGTCTCCTCTAAAGCTTGGACTGGTTTTTCCATACCATTAGTTTTCCTGGATAGTGTTTTGATTTCTGTTGTCAATTTGCCCATCTTTTTGGTGTTATTTTGTAAATCTTTTCCTAATTCCACCAGGATCTCTGCTATGTTGGCATCTCCTTAGGTGGTCCCCCTTTTAGTTTGGGTGGTTTCTTTTGTGCACCCATATTTTTTTCTGTTAGACTATTTCCCCCCCTAATAAAATATATATATATTTTGTTATTCCGAAGGTCTCCGCTCAGTGTCTCTCCCACTGTTGTCTTGGGGAATATTTTTTTATTTTGTTTCACCTGTAGTAACCTATGTTATCCATCATTTGAGAACCACGATATTGTTCTCCCTTTGGTCTTCTTTCCTTTTCATCCCTTTCCCAAAATGGAAAACTTTTCTCGCAGCTGTCGCCCACAGGGTCAACATTTTCTGCCACCCACCCCCACCACCCTCCGACGACCACCGTCAGTCATGGGGTCACAGAAGTATGGCTTCTAAACTGGCTGGATCTAGAGTCTGGATACATCAGAGAAGCACTTCAATTAAAGGTGTTGTAAATTCAAACACTGAAAACAGGTAGAGAAAATCAGGACTCCACTGCACCATCCAGTGGCACAATGTTATATTGCACATACAATGCATATCAATCATTTTTTCTTTGCCAATCTAATGATGATAATAATAATTTATTATTTATATCTCACCCATCTGGCTGGGTTTCCCCAGCCACTCTGGGCGGCTCCCAATTGAACGTTAAAACAATACAGCATTAAATATTAAAACTTAAAACTATTATCAAACTATTAAAAATAAAATAAATAAATGTAGCTGAGTTTGCAGGGACGAATTTGGGAGGGGAGTCAGGCCCTTGGCAAATAAAAGTAGGGTGTCCCCTAACCTATCCCATCTCATGGGGGGAGGGTAGCAGGGATTCCCCTAATGTCATCTCATTGGATCCTGCAGGGAATGAAACGGGGGGTGGAGCACAACCCCCCAGCTAAGTTTGGAGGATGGGCCAAGAAGTATAGCTGGTCATTGGAAGGCAGACGTACCCAAAGCCTTCAAAATGTGCACTTCCCTCCATTTTGCAACACAATTCCCCAGCTCAGCAATGTGTACTGGGGTCAAGCAGGCATCATCAACATTGTCTTTTACTTTAGTTCATAAAATTTATACACAGCTTGATTTTAAAAGCAGCAACCACCACAAAAAAAA